CGAGTGCACCCTGAACCCCCTGCTGTGTGCCTTCTGCTGCATCACCACCAAGGGCTCCTACATGTGCACCTGCCCCGCTGGCTACACCCTGCAGGAGGACGGAGCCATGTGCCCAGGTGAGCCTGGGCCCCATGCAGATACCCCCTGTGCCATCGTCCCTCAGACCTAGGCACGGGCCCACTCCCCGACTTCACGTCTGTCACTCTGGGAGTAAGGCTCTGCTTGCCTCCAAGGTGGCAGCGAGAAGTGGGGCACCCCATGAGCCTGTGCTGGTGGCTGCCAGCTGCCCCCCAGTCAGACCCCAACTCACGGCGCCCCCGGGCACAATGAAAGGAAACATATACTGAACAATCCAGCCCAGCTGCAGGTCAGACCCCCATGGACTGTCAAAATGCACCCAACCCACTGTTACCGAGCAGATGCTGACTCAGAGTGGCTTTTAATCGTTTCCGAGGCTGTCAATAGCCTTGTGTGGGTACCCAGTTTGAACCACCAACCTTGTGGTTAGCAGTCCAGCGCTTACCCCACAGCAACACCAGGGCTCCTTTGGGGCCCACAGGTTTCTTTGTTTTTGTTTTACATGTGTTTTCCATTTTGCTGTTAAAAATACATACACACAGCAGTCCAACCCTGCCTCCGTGTACACTTCAGTGACAGGGATTATGAAGAGCCATACGGCGATTTCAGGAGGCGATCACCAGGCCTGTCTGCCTAGTCCATCTTAGTCAGGAAGTTTTGCTGAAACCAGTTAGCAGCACGCAAGCCTCCACAGATAGACCAAGTGGCGGGCTGCCTGTGAAGAGCCTAAGGCAGGAACCAAAACTGGTGGGTTCATACCTACCTGGCAGCACCTTGGGAGACAGACCCCACCACCTGCTCCTAACAAGATGCCTGCCTAGGAAAACCGATGGGGCAGATCCATTCTGTCCTGGGGAGTCGCTGAGTCCAAATTGGCTCTATGGCACCGAACAACTACGAGGGGGTACCCCCCCCCACAAAAACGGAATTGTGCCAGGCAGAGCAGATCTGAAAGTATGCATTTTCCCGAATAGGCGAGCATTGAGCAATTTGCTCTGACTTAGTGCACCCAGTGGCATTGCCTGGGAAGGTTCTCTCTGGTCATAGTGAATTTTTTCATAAGAACAGTTTCACTCCAAACTTGTTTTTGGTGATGGCTGATTTAAAAGAACAGCATGCAACTGTGATTTTTTTTTCCCCTGCTCGGGAAAAATGCTGCAGAAACTGTTGGGATGCTGAACACAGTTTCCAAGGAGAGCGCTATGGAAAAGCCTCCAATGTACGAGTGGTTTTCTCGTTTCAATAAAGGTGAGCTGTTGATTGGTGACAAACCACATTCTGGATGTCTTATCAACTTCCCAAAGATGTGAAAATGTCAACTTGTAGTGCATTTGGAGTTCATTCCACCAGGTCAGACTGTTAATCAAATGCTCTATTTAGAGCAGTGGTTCTCAACCTTCCTAATGCTGTGACGCTTTAATATAGTTCTCATGTGGTGGTGATCCCCAACCATAAAATTATTTTCATTGCTATTTCATAACTGTCATTTTGCTACTGTTATGAGTTGGGCGACCCCTGTGAAAGGGTCGTTCGACCTCCAAAGGGGTCGAGACCCACAAGTTGAGAACTGCTGATTTAGAGAGTCTGAAAAGATTGTGCAACAAGGCCTGATTTGTGGCAGATGGGGGCTGGGTGGCGGTGGTGGGGGACTGGCTTTGCCACCGCGGTAATGAATCGGCTCACACAGCCATCTCAGTGCTCCAGGTTTGGGCAAAAACCAGCATGCCTCTCTTGCCCCATGAATCTGACTCACTTGACCTCACTCTGTGTGACTTCTTTTTGTTTCCTCAACTGAAGAGGGACATGGAGAGGTGAAGAAAAAAGCCAGGGAGGTCCTGTCAGCTACCCAGACAGATGAATCTGAAAACTGTCAGGGAGGTCCTGTCAGCTACCCAGACAGATGAATCTGAAAACTGTTTCCAAGAATGGAATCGCAGATTTGACCAAC